ACCCTGGCCAGGGGGGGTGGTGGTGTGGGGATAATGTATGCTTTGGGATGGATTGATATTCTAGTTGAATATGACAAACGACGCTTTAAAGACGGCCCGCCCACGCTATTGCACTTTAGCTGAGAGGACGCCATATTTCATTTCGAGCACGTTCTGTCAAATGTTTGCATTAATAACAATCGAGGCTCATCCGTGACCCTGCAGAGCCAGCGGGAGCGGCGGGCGGGAAATGAGAACGCCAACAATAGCACTTAAAAACAGGAGAGAAGCCGTTGCATAATCAGCATAAAGCGTGTGTGTGTGTGTACGTATATTTGTGTGTGTGTGTGTGTGTGGGTGAGGAGGTGGGGTTGCAATTATCAAGCAAGGATAAGATGTTGGGGAAAAAATAGACAGCCAGCTACTCATGTAAGTTATTTGGTGTGTGTGTGTGTGTGTGTGTGTGTGTGTGTGTGTGTGTGTATCTGGAATTGGGCCGAGGGAATATCAGGGAAGTCTCTCTCTCTCTCTGGATTGACAGCTTGGCTAATGGCAAACATTCCTCCTCTCTTTATTCCCCACTTCATCAACACCCTCGCCTCATTACTGTGAGTCACACTGTAGCGGTACACACACACACACACACACACACACACACACACACACACACACTCCCACACACCTTCACAATGTCTTCACTGCTGGATTGCACTTGGAGAGATTATTACAGAGACCCTCTCCATGTGACAGAACAGGCAGAATTGAGTCATTTTGATTTGGAGGATCTTGAAACAGACACACTGAGGAACTGTCTGCACTTTCTTCAGACAAAAAAAAAAAGGTGGACAAAATCACCTGACAAGGACCAAGTTTAAATGCACATTACTATCCCCATTCTGAGCTTTTCTTCAGTCCCGATGTAAACTCCATTCCCAATATGACTTTTTAAAGGAACACACAGTCACCATTCTGCTGAATTAAGCTTCTCATATCTGACCGCCAAGAATGGAAGATGAGAGCAACAGAACAATTTCTCCTTCCCATTACCTGTGTCACACTCTGACTTTGCATTTATCATCATATTTCTTGTTCCGCAGACAAACCACTATGCAACTAAAGCTAACGTTGCACCTCTGAAATGAGGATAGTCTAAAAACCCAATCATAGATGGAAAACGGTAAGTTAAACGCATTCAATATAACGCAACATATTACATGCTTCACAAAGGTAATGTTCGTTGTGATTGTGCTGGATTTTATGATGAGATGTTCCTGTTATTTCAGCTCCTGCATATAGATGAATATATTCGTTGTTGCTCATCTTTCTGTTTTGATCCTGGAGTGCTGTTTTCATTGTTTTTGTCTTTGTCATTTTACCATGATTACAGTTGCACTCAGCTTCCTTTTTTTCCTTTGGTATGGATGTGTTTCTTCGGTATGGATGAAATAAGCTGGTTAAACCACAGCTAACTGAAGAAGAGCAAAAAACTCATTATAAACTTTTCCACCTCAATCTCGGATAATCACTTACAAATATTTAGCATCATCTATGATTGTAACTGCATCATTTTGAAGGTATCTCTCACCTGTTTGATTCAAATACCGCGTTCAGTGAAACCTTTTACATTTAGATGCAGTGATTTATATTAAATTCCTCAACAAAAGAGATATGTGTATGCACAGTCAGCTGTGTTTGAGCACAGCTCTAGGTCTGGCCTATAAATGAGATTTGGCTTGGTGTTTTTTGGAGTGTGGACCTGGATCAATTTGAGCAGAAAACAAAGTGCAGGCTGAGTCTGAAATGTCATTCATCACAGCTCCGGCTTCAGTCTGGAAACCAGGTGAAGTCATTTTGGCTACCTGGGGCTGAAAAGTTTAAGGGCCCCTCAATATCTTTTCTCCTTTATTGTGATGTATTTCCTGTTGAAAGGTTTTGGGGTGAGACATAGGATTGAAAATTTCCAGGAATTTAACTGTTTTCTGAAAGGCGAAAAGGATACTTTGCCAATTTTCAACCAGCTTTATATCATGCCAGTGTGGCAGTAAATGAACTATGGTAAACTTCCCAACATCTTACCAGCAGCCAAGTCTCCCTTCTCATCTCTCAGCTCATATGCGTCATCCGGTGGATTTTCACTGGCTCTAGGGCTGCTGCTCGAACTAGATTCTACCTCCACATTTTTGTATGCCAGCCACCACAGACTCAAAGAGTAATGTAGCACAAAGAGAGACAGAGCTCTCTCTTCATCAAACACAGAGAGTGGCAAATTGTGCTCAAATTGTAAAACTAGGCAGTGCTGATTAAATATAAATCAAGACTCTGTTACTGTTAGGGCTGTAGTCAACCAAAGAAAATCTTGGTCGACTAAAGTCGCACATAATCTTCAACTAATCGATTAGCCATGGGGGAAAAAAAATCTGCATGTTATTTTTACTTGTGCGGTGGTGTGTCTGTGTCACTCTGCAGTTACACCTCCAAAACGCTAGTCGGCGGTGGAGGACTGTGTTAAGTGCTGTAAAGTTTAGTTCAAATCTAACTTTATTTATATAGTTGATTCCAAACACACATTAAATATGGCTTAATAGAGACAATTTCAAACACAAGTATGCAAATTGGCTTCACTATAAATCGCAGAACCGACAGACAAACACTTGTCTTTATCTGGACACATTTCCACCACCAATACAACCTGCTAACGTTATTAGCACAAGTCTATGGAATTTTACATTGTATAAATTAACCTAGCGTCTAGTGATCTTTTCCTCCTCTCATATAAAACCAGGGACAATGGCAAAATGTAACAAAGGTAACGGCACTCAATGTGGCTCCATTACAAGTCACAACATTCACCGACAAAACAACTCTCTTATACTAAACACGTTTTCCAAGCAAATACAACATGCTAGCATTATCAGCGCCAGCCTATGGCATTTTACATGGTATACATTAGCCTAGTGACGAGTGGAGATTTCCTCTGCTCATATGAAGCCAGGATAAATCCCGAAGTATAAATGAAAATATAAATATATTTAAATCCCTGAAGGATAGATCACACACACACACACACGACTTAAAATGCTATTTTAGGGGAGGCTTTACTGTCTTCACAATCTATTGCTTCTTATCTGTGAAATACAAGTAAATACAAGCTTCGTTTCCACTGAGGGAAATGGTGTCAGTACACAGAAACAGACAGGAGGTCAGCGGTGGGCGAGTCCAACTTTCTGTCAACAAAGAGGGTGTTTTGAAAACACCCCCATTTTCACAGGCTCCCCCCCCCCCCCCCCCCCACCGCAGGAAATAATGGATTAATCCTGGTAAGCTATTGATGTAGCACTTTTCTCCTTATGAAAGTAACACAGCGATTATTCAACTAGAGAGAATTTGGTCGGATGAGAGCATAGCAACCAAGACTACAGCCCTAGATATATTACAGATGTATTGCCTATTTCTTCAGAAACATATTTGAGGGTACCATTTGGCTGTAAGACGAGAATTTGTAAGCAGTATGGCGCCCACTCCCTTTTTCCAAATTATCGTATTACAGCCAAACAGTACCCTAAAATATGTTTCTGAAGACATTTAAGGTGTATCGTAAAAATGGAGGCTGAAAAAACTGAGATCAAGTGATAGAACTGAGCAGTGTTGATCAAATATGAACCAAGATTCTATCACTGTGTTGTCTATTTATCATCAAAAATGTTTTCAAAATAATTTTTGTTACCAGGGGGCTGCCATATTGTTTCCTGAGTCAAAGCACTGAAGTTGCTTATGTCACCAGCTTGAGTGTTTATTGGTCTGGTTCAGCACAGTGCATTCTGGTAGTTGTAGGTTTTCTACCCCTTGAGCAAAAATGAATGCCACAGTCCTTTCCTCGTTTTTCTCTGGTGTGGTAGCACCAACTTCAGAGGTATTTGCATCTTTCTACTGCACAGACAGCCTTTTTTTAGTGAAAAGACCATCTTTCCAAGAGTAAAATACAAAATACAATACATAAAAAGTCCCCAGTTTATGTGGTCTTGAACTCGAGCAGCCTTGTGAAATTAGACTTCTGCCTTTTTCACCACCAATGCTTTTCTATTACCGGAGTTGAATAGTACCTAGTTCTGGTACCTGGTACAATCTCTGTCAAGGTTCCAAGCAAGCTAAGCCAAAACAAGAAGGTGGGGTTAAAACACTGCTGACCACTGACTGGGGGGAAAGAATTGTCACTTGCGCAACAGGGTACATCCTGCACAAACGATTTTTGATTAGTGACTACAATGTCTTCTTTCACTCGACCCAGAAATTATGTAGTACACTTCGCCGTACAAGAGTTTCATGCGGTGTCGCTATGGTAATCAGCTGAGTATCCCGCCTACACTGAGGGGTTACTCTCTGGAGTGTAAAACAGAGTAAAGGACCTGGTACCCAAAGTGAGCTGATTTAATTCTAGATGAACCATGCAGTGAAAATGAGACACTAGTTTCCCCTTAGCCACCTGAACTGTGTATTTTACTGCAGGTACAACTCATACTGACCGGTGATACAAGACTGAAGGCCACATTGTGCATCCTTTTGATAAAACTTATCAGACTTTTCTTATTTGCAAAAGGCATTAATCAACTGACTCATTTCCCAAACACAACTAATTTCTGGTGTCTCTTTTTTTCTTCGTGTGTTTTTAGGCACACATCCAACTCTCCAATGGATTTCCACAATGAAGCCAAACAAACATGGCTGCTTGGAGATTTGTGACACAAAAGAAAATCCTGCTGGCTTCCTTTCAAAATGGGCCAATACCAAATACTTACCCAAACTAAACCAAACTCAACACAAAGCAATAGGAAAAAAAAATCGCCAAAGAGTGCCAGTGCGGCAGAATACACAGTGGGAGGAAACAAAAAACACACATTTTCACTGAGGAGTCATAAGTTTTGAAAAATGTTCATGTGGGGCCTCAGGTGCAGCAGCAAGCCAGTGATAATGGCCTGTCTTTATCTCTGTCAGTATAAAGACAACATTACTCAAGGAGAACCTACCAGCCACGTTGGCCACATCTGCGGTGGTGACGTTCTGAGTGTTCGGGCTCACTTTGAAGGTCACAGCGGGGCCCACCACCCTGTAAAAAAACACGCATACACACAGTTAGAGGCTTTACAAAAGACATCCTCACAATCTATTTTCCATGGTGGAGAGGTGTTGTTTTCCAGACGGAGGGAGAAAACGAGCTGTGCTCATTAAAGCTCAGCCATACGTGGCGCTTGAGAGAGAAAAAAAGAGAAAGCTTTAACCTGTGGCGATCCTTTAGGCTGTTGCAATCCCTATCACCACCGTGAGATAACCTCTTGAATCTCAATGTAATACGCCTGGCGGCATTTAAGCATGCTGGGAAATGAAGAGAAGGGGTCGGGGATGAGAGGATTTTGGTCATCAACAAGAGGACTCTCTGATACGTGATTCTCAGATGAGCGAAGGCATTTCTATCGGCCTGGTTTATGATACATTTACATTTTGATTCGACGTATGGTGATTGCAAATGCATATAGTCGTGATGGATGTAAATTGAGGGTGACAGAAAGTGGGGCAGGGAGAAGAGGCAAGAGGAGAGACAACATGTACAGAAAAGGGACAGAAAGACATCTGTATTGTTTTTCTAGGTGCCCCCCCCCACCTGCATTCATCCAACATTCATGCCAATAAAGAAGCTTGAATTGAAACACTGAGGGAGCGGCAGATAGAAGCTGGGTGGTCAGAGGCAGAGCGGAGTCTCCCAATGTGATTAACCTTTTGTTTTTCCTGCTGTAATTCAGACTAAAGGCCCAGCAGGAAGATATATTACCGGGTTCCCCTCCAGGAGGTATTGTGTGCTGCTATAGGAAGTGACTGCTACTGTAACGACACTATTATAAAATATGGTGACATCATTAATGGTGCAGGTCCCATCCTAAGGCTGCCGGCAGAGAAAAAATGTCTAAAATGTTTTCAGGGATTCAGAAAAGTGGTTTTCGTTTCAGGTTGATGGATTTAAATTGTTGCACGTTCATTGTTTTGAGTGTGTTTTTGGAGGCTGTGGGGTCTGCCGCTTCAATGTAGGTAAAAACATGAAAAGCAGACTAACTGTCCTGTTTTAAAGACAAAACTTAATTAAAATAAGCACCAAGAGAATTTTGTTTTTGTTTTTTTTTTAACAAAACTCTACCTTCTATCTTTCGTCAGCAGTGCAAATTCAGCACTCATTATTATTAGTATTATTGGAATCCTTGTGTTTTTTAGAAACAAGAACGAGAACTAATGAGAAATAAACAAATTAACAACTTAGCTAACAAACATAATGTGAAAGTACAAACAATACTAGAATACTGTTGGTGCAAATTTGCAAATTTAGTCTTCTTCTTGTTTTTGAACTGCGCCCTAGATGGTTACACATACACTCTATTCCACTGATTCCCAACCTTGGGGTCCTGCCTCCCACTTGAAGTCCCAAAGCTTCACGAGGGGTCCCTTGGCATTTCAGATTTTAAGGGGTGTAAGAAAAAAAAAGTGGGCCTGAATATCAGCCTTTCGTTTATTTTTGTGAAAGAAACTAAATGAAATGGTTATCTTTTAAAGTTTGATTATTATTCAAGATCTAAACTTCTAAAAATCTTACAGGATACCTTAACACAACTTCTATTCATAGAGGCTTCACCCTTTGCCAACAGCCTTGTCCTGCATTAGAAAAATACATAGTTTAAACAGCTTAAGAGCTGAGAGAACAATGGCATCAGTATCAGAGAGAGGAAAACACTTAATTTGTCAAAAAAAGACGCCTATTAAGTGTGTGTGATTGATGAAAATTAAAAGAATACACAATACAAAGAGAGAATTGTATAAAAATGTTCCTAAAATTGGAATCTCTGATGGAATATTCACAGGATTAATCTGCTCAAAATCCATTCAAATCATTTGTTTTACACAAACTTCCTGCTGTTACTGCATCACTATTTGGGTTAGCTGTACGGTATATCAGATGTTCTGTACTGTAAATACTATGCATTGAATATAATGTGAAATACCCATAAAATATGTCACTTAGTCAGGGGTCGTCAGTATACTCAATGATTTTGCAGCCCCCCCCAGCTGGTGTCCTAGGCAGCTGCCTATGATGCATATGTGGAGATTCGTCACTGTTTCTCAGTACTGTTACTTTTTGAATGATGCTCTTTTGCACAAAATGTCCAACTGGCAGTTAAATTTTATCCAAAATAAGTTGAGAAAACACAAACAAGCACTGAAAGGATTGTTTCTCTCCTTGATATTCTAAAATAGTCAACACCATTTTTCTGAGGAGCAAAGGAGGCTTCTATGGAGGCACTCACTCTAATTTCTTCACACGTTTTCTATCTCTCCGTTGGGTAAAGAGCTCCAAAGTGTTGTTTTTCAAACCTTTAGTAACAGCCTTCGTTTGACATGCCCAGCCGTGCTTTTTTTTTTTCCTTTTTTTATTTTTTAGATGATTGTGGGTTTTTAATTGGGTTTCTTGGGCCCTGAGGTCAGTGTATCAAAGAAAAACACAAACAGCACCAAACTCACATTCACTTTATGCAGAAGTAATGTTACACTACTCTACCGTTTAAGGTGCAATAACAAACTAATTAGACTGGGTCAAATGAATGATCCCCAGGGGGAAACTTGGTGAAGCTAAGTGCGTGAAGTCGAAAAGAAATAATAAAACACCTCTCTTTGTCTCGTTTGTTATGGATGCCACAGTGTACTGTCCTGCTCTGTGCTGGACCTGTTATATTCCACATTATATCTTTTTTGGAGTCAAGTTTAAATATAAACTGAGCAGCAAATATGACAAAAAGAGCCTCGGCTGCTCTGTCAGAGGAACTCCGCACAACGCGTCAGCTCATTTTTTTCTGACCATTATTTCTCCTCCGAGATATGAGGCCGATATATTTGTCACGTCTATGAAGTGATTTATCAGCCGGTGCAGGCGAAGTCTCCGTGTGTGACGAGGAGGGAAAATCACTCATGTTGAGTTGATCACATATCCATGTGTCGGCCCTCTGCCACCCAGGGCAGCTCCCGCACAAAGACACCACATCGACTTTAAACCCTGTAAAATGACCTCGTCACTCACCGGGCCCAAAGAAGCTCACACGAGGTGATTTCTACATCTGCTGGTGCTCATATTTATCATTTGGAAAAATGTTAGACTATATGCCGAAGCAAGTTCAGGAGCCTTCAACATGGTGATCATCCATTTACACGTGGTACATAAAGAGTAATAAATGCAAACCACTTCAAACTCATTAATGTGGTGTTTTTCATTTAACTGCAAAATAATATGATGTGTGTGACATTTAGAGTTTTTTATCTAACAGCAACATTATGCTGACTGATTGCATGGAAACAAGAAGAAGATGGCGATGATGATGATGATGATGATGATGTGGGGAACTGAAGCAATGCATCCTACTATCTAAAAAACAGTGACAGCTCTGATGGCATGACTGACAACAGACACAAATCCTATCTGTTTAAAAAGATAAAACATATTTTAGTCTTTGGTGGAGAGAATAATAACACCTTTACACAAGGAATGCTTCTTTTTTCATGGGCATTGAAGGACAACCCCAAGATATGTTTTTTCCTACTTTGTCAGTGGGGAACAAATACCCTGAACCAAAGTGTTTTGATAATCATTACTCATGAATTTCTCAGTGATGAAATAGTAATTTAGTTCTTTTAATACTATAGTAATACCACAAGGCTGAGAGTACTCAAGCATTCAAAATACTAAAACCCTAACCCTAACTTCCTATGGCTCTTATGTGATACATGCACCTCACTGTAAGAGACATAAAACATTAAAAATCCCCCAAATGTTTTGCATTATTCCAGATTAGATACAGGATGACAGGCTTTTTTACAGATTGAGAAGAATCTCTAAAGTCTAAAGTCATCATGTCATCGAGCTGAAACGAGGCCGCCCCTCACACTTCCTGAAAAGTCATAACTTTGAGGATACAAGATTTTCCCCAAACAGTCATCTTTTATGAGTTTAACAGATGCTGACAGTAAAAGATCAATCAGAAATAAACTAGTAACTTCAGACATGAGATACTGTAAATGAACTAGAATGAAAAACTATATTATTTTAGTAGGGAAATAAGAAAGTCTCTTCAAAAATCTTAAGTCAATTTTGTTCATAGTTGAGTCCTAAAAGTCTTATTTGTTAAAAACAAAAGACAGAATCAGTTGTTTTCACCTCAGATCTACATGTTGCATGTTTTCTTGGATTAAGTAAAATGTTTTGCTGATACAGGACATTGATTTCAATTGTTTCAATATACTAAACCCATTTTGATAAAAGCATTCTAAGTGTTGATCAAATCAGGCCTTTAGGACAAAAAAACCAGGGCTAAATGAAGCTCTGATCCAACATCAGCTGATTGTGATGACTGCTCATACAGTATTAAAGTGTCTTTTGTACCAAAATTAAGTTAAATGGCAGATTTTTTTCACATAACCATTTAAGAGTCTACATTAGGACTAAATGATGGATAAAGATGGAGACTTTTTGCAGTGTTCACTATCAGTCTACATCCGGTACATCATCCTCATCATCCTCACATCCAGCCAGTTCAGGCTCACTCTCTCCTCCTAGTGGCGGCTCTTTGATATAACCCCTCAGCTCAGACAGACATTACATCACCTCAACCCTCCTGTTTAAAAAAAAAAAACATCCAGTCTACAGTGACAGTTACGCAACAGCCATCATTATTCGGCGGCCAGCTACAGTCAAAGGCTCTGCCAAGCCACCCACATCAATGCTTCCCTCCCGCCCGCCACTTCGCCCTCAACCACTACCAGGCCACCACGCCAGCTAAAAACATTTCCAAGGCCTTTTCGCTGAAAGCGCTCACCGTCAGTATTATCTAATCAGTATTGAATTGTTCCAAATGAAACGCAAAGGTGTGAGTCACTCTACAGGTTTGTTTTGTGTCCTGGCACAAAGTGTGTAGGCCCACTTTTATGATTCATATGTTTGCCAGTGTGGAATTTTTTTTTTTTTTTTTTTTTTTGCTGCAGGCTCGCTGAACTGCCGCTGCTCTCTGGCTCCGGCCCCCG